GAATGAAGTCCAATAAAACCAGAAATTGAATAATAACACATTTTTCTGTAACATGGACTTTGAAGTGTAATATGTAAATAATATTAAAAAACTTCTAATAGTAGATATTACTAATATATCGCAGAACTTAATTTTAGACATCTACATGTGTCATGTCCAATAATTGAAACCCATGAAATTTATAATAAAAATTTTAAAAAGATTCTAGAACTTGTATTCTTTTTCTAGTAGATACAACATTTTTATTTTAAAGGCATAATAAATTATAAGATACAGTTGTACATAAATGTTTTAGAAATTTATGAGTTTTTATTTTATGGGTAAATAAATTCGCTAGTTTTAGAAGCATAGGAAATCAAAATCCAATCTATTAGCGTGTTTGAATCCATACAAGAAAATTAAAAAGGTGGATAAAAATGAAGTATACCTTATTTAAATATTGGCTTTGGAGAGAATGTGAGATCATCCTAATTGCTCAAATATCTAAGTCCCTGTCCAAATGACAAAATTAAATATAAAGAGAGAAAAAAAAGATAGCAAAAAAGCATGTTAGAATAAAATTTCTACTAATATTATTGAAATTTGAAAAGCAAGAATTAACAAATAAAAATATGCTAATATAGTGGATTCTCTTGCTAAAAGAGGTGCGGCTTTACCATTGCTATATCCGAAAATGTAATTTCCTTGCTGTTGCCTTATTTCATCAATAAAGTTTTGGATATTGTCAAAAAATAAAATAAAAATGGATCAATTAGTAATATTAAGAAGAGATTCCACTAAAGGTACAATATAAAGCAAATAAAAAGATTATAAAGAAATTTACCATTGAAATAAATCTGAATCTTCTTACGCTTCACATATGGGAGAGAATACATGCGCAACCATCATATATCAGTAAAAATTTGATTTTGAAATATAAGAATAATAACAAAAACTTTTAAAACATTTATAATGTAGAGAGTTCTCGATTCTCAAACCTTTCTCTCTCATGCACCCTCTCTCTGACGCCCTTACTGACTTTCTCTTGCTTTATCTCTCTCATACCCTCCCCCTTTCTCATGCCCCCATTCTATGTGTCACGCCCTGCACAACCCTCCCTCAAAATTTATCTTTTTACAATATTTTTTTTTTTCTTGGAGACATTAGAAATTTAAGAATAAAAATTTCCTTAAATTTGCTCTCTCTAAGGATATTCTCTCTCTACAATTAGGTATTTCTTTGGTTTAGTTTACTTATTTAATGATATATAAATAAGGTAAAAAAAAGATATCATCTTTATTTAGACTTAGAAAGAAAACTTACATATTTATTTAAGGAGTAATGATATTATGAGATCCTCACACACCTGTGTGTAAGACTTCAAAAGATCACTATTAAATTTGATACAGATCTTTAAAAAAATTATTATATGGGGGTATGAGACTTGATTTTTCTAGAGATTTGTGCTAAATTTAATAGTGATTTTTTGAGGTCCTACACACTGATGTGGGAGGATCTCACAAAGTCATTTCCCTTATTTAAGATAGTCTTCAATGGTATCTTTTTTTTATTCTCTCTCTCTTCTCTAGACGTATCTCTCTCTCCTTATATCCCTTTGGTGTAGCTTTCTCCCTTTATATCCCCTTGGCATGTCTCTCTCCTTTATAGATGGGATTAGGGGGAAATCTAATTAAGGGGAGTACTCTATTTAGAAAAGTGAGTAAAATTCTACCACGATTTAAAAAAAGAATTCTATAATTGAGAAGATTTAGCAAATCTATTAAAGGAGCATATATAGCAGTATTTTAAAGCTCATGATTTACATCATTATATATATCACAATACAGATTTGCTAAATGTTCTTTCTGTTTAATTTAGAAAATATAAATGTTTAAAGTAATTTTAAATAAATTAATTAATATGTATTTTTCTAGAGAGTAATTATTTTATTTTAAAGTTCTTTATTTTTAAGACTTCTACCCTATTTTATCTCTATGCATAGAGTCTCGTTTTATTCTCGCAACATTTGTCCATCCTTTAACTCAAGCTTAATAATGTAGTATGGATAGATAGATTTTTGGAGACAAATTTAAAGATATCCTTTGAGATATTATTAAATCAATTAAAACATATCATAACCTCGTAAAACCTTTGAGCAAATTCTTATCCAAAGTCTTGCCATACAGATAAAAAATAAACAAACAGTTAGCTTTCATTGATATAAAGAGAGTAGAGCTCTCCTTACACGTATTACTATACATTTTTTCTTCCCTTCTCTTCAATCATCGCCCTCTCTATAAAATGTTTTTTGATTCATTATTATTGTTGTTCTTTGTTTTTTTTATAACTATATATCATCTTCATCTATTCTTCGTTTTTCAAATTATTTTTGTCAAATCCTGCATATTTTATTATCATAATTACATTTAATTATTTTCCTATTGTGCAGGTATTCATTCTAAATTTGTTACGTATAACATTGCTCATATATGTATATAAAGATATATTGTTTATTTATATTGTTTATTTATTTATTAAATTTTAGAGTGCTTCTATAAGTTATTGTTAATTATTTTAAAAATTGTGAGTGACCTAATTTTCATAAATTTAGTAATAAATTTGTAAATATTTTTTAAAATTTATATTGTCCTTTTCATGAAAAGAGATACTCATTTCTAGAAAATTTTATTTTCTTAGTTACAAAAACTTATGATCTTGAGAATTATTTATGAACATTTTTTAGTTTATATTACAAGCTTTTATAAGATTTCTAAACAACAAAGTACATATGTGATATCGTTACTACAAATAAAGGAATTCAACATCTTTTAGTTTTTAAATTTTCTAAGAACTTTATATTCTCAGTTTTACCTTAAAAGTTTTCTAGATAATTTGACAAATTAGTCATAAGTAATTTTTAATTTGAATAAATTTTAAACTAAAATTATAAAAGTTCTTATATTCAATATTCTATTTATGTATAAAATAGCACATAATAATTAGAAAACAATTGAATTTTGTAATAGAAAATTAGGGAAAATAGTCATAATCAATTTCAATAAACTTAAAGTCGAAACTTGAAAGACATATTAATGGGATTATATGCAAATATACTATAAATCTTTTGTACTTGGAGGTGATAATTAGTCATGCTCATTAGATGTCAAATTGGATGGTTTGGGGTGAGTCACGAAGTTCGAGATTTTTTTTTAAAAAAAATTTGTGTCTATTCAATCACTCTTACAACTATTTATTTTGAAATTTAAGGGACAATAATGATTGTGACCTCCATGTACAAAAAATAAATGGTCTCTTTGTAGACAATCCTTATATTAATTGTAAAAACTATGTATATTGTATATCAAGGAAATTGTTTCATGTGGGCTGGACCGTATTTCTACATATGCGGTCTAGAAAGTATAAAGCATCCATCTTAAAAATGGATGCAAGTAGGTGTTTATCTAAAAACAATGGAAACTAACAATCCAAGTGTTTTCTTACTAGAATTATTATTTTTAGTTTTAAAAAATTATTTATTTTTTCGTATTCATATCTCCATGTTAGATATTACATGTCCTTAGAATTTAAAATCCATCTCAAAAATAGATTTTTTATGAGGCCCAATTTCTACATATGCGGGCTTGGCCGCATAGATACCGCCTCCTGTATATAATGAGCAACAACATGGGGGATGATCCCAAATATACATATATAAAATTATTAAAGCTGTAAATCCAAAAGTTTCAATTAATGTAAAGGATGTGCCGATGCATGTGCTTTTGCAAGGATAAAAATAAAGTTAAACCGTAAGCATGATAAATGAAATTTCAATTATGGGTATGACTTATTTGAATATGCAGGATGAAAAATTTAAAAATAAATAAAAAATTTCAATTAATCAAAATGAAAAAAAATAGGAATTGGGATGTTTTTATATAAATAATCGTCAAATGAGGTTACAATGAAAGGCCCTCCAAAAAAAAAAAAAGGGATATTATTTTAGATAGTATAGTGGGGATGGGGGTCGTTAACCATGGTAGGATTGGAGCTCAAAGATGCAAGATTGTGGTGACTTAATACCCTGACTACTTAGCCTTGAGTCATTCCTTAATATATATAATCAAAGTACTATTCCTATTGAATATTCTTTCGAATTTCACCTGTTTACATATTTTTATTACCAAGAAATTATACATGTCGTGTCTTCATTTCTTACATATCTTATATTAAAGTCAAATAATGATGGCTGATTTTTGCCTAATAAATATATTTCTCACTCCATATCTATGCACTCTTTTATTCCAAAATCATTGCAAAATCATGTCATCAGTTATATGATCTCTGATAACATATCAATGTAATCTTCCATTGCATATTTTTTATATGATCCTTGATCACATATCCAATGTAATCGTGCCTTGCATATTTTTGTGATGATTTACGTGAATGGCCATTACAATATTAGACGCTTCATTGCATATTTACACGATTATTTACACAATCGCTTATTTCAATTTTATGCCACGCTCAGAATTCAATTAGTGGAATTTGAAGCTTAAAAAATAAGGAAAAAGTTTATATAAAGTTGCAACTTTATATGTAGAATTACGGATGCATCTAAAAAATCCATTGGAAAAAGTAGTTTTAATGTTGAAAAATCCTTTGATTGATCATCTCGATATCGAGATGTATGACCATGAAAAGTAAAAAGATTTCAAGTCTCATAAATAATATATTTTACAACATATTATGTACATGGTCAATTTACAAGATTTTCATATATTTATAAATCTACTTGATTTTAACTATTTTTAAAATTTTATAATTATATATAAAAATAAATTTTGAACATTTTACTTCAAAATTATATACTATGATAAATTTGAAGGTGGACATCACCTCTACCGCTACGTATGCATCTGCATGCTAACGACACCCTATATACGTATATACCGAGGTTCACATAATTGTTTTTTGAGAGCAACAAAACAACTTTGTTTGAGGGACTTTTTAGACCAGTAGAAGATTATATAAACTTTTTGCAGAGTCCAATTCGACGGCTTTCAGTGTAGTGTAAAAGACTAAAATAAGTAAGTAAAAACCCAATAAATGGTTTTCTTCTCTCTCCATGCTTAATTTGCAGAGTCTAATTCTTCCCCAAGCAGGACGTTACCTCGCTCCTCTTAGTTGCAGGTAGTCTCGTTTCTTCTATGTTCTTATTATTATTATCAGCGTTAATGTTGCTTTTCGTTGATAGAAAACGATCGGATTAACCGATTATATTCCGTTTTTTTTTTTTATATTTTAGCAGTTCAATCTCTCGAAGGTCATCAATGGCGCCACCGATCCTCTCTCTAGCTCTTCCATCAGGGACTGGTCGTGTTCTTAGCATACAGTCTCACACTGTACAGGTCTTGTACCAATGACATTTTCCATTGTTTATGTATTTATTTATCGATATTTATGTTTAGTTTTCCTGTTTTTTTAGTCGGTAAAGCTGCTCCTGTAATTTTGATATTTTGAAAAATTTTAACTGTTTTTTTAAGTACTGTAAGTGGAGATGTTCTGATATTTTTGATTGATAGATATCTATTGTTGCATGCTTTACCATTTGTGCCATCAAAGTTGATGAAATTAGGTTTTGTGGCTTGGAGGTAGGACTTTTGGAAAGATGGGACGTTTGTTTCTCAGTTTCATTCAAGAATCCGAAATGCAAGATATAACAGTGGTCTTCTTGGTTATTTATGTATTTATTAATTCATTTTTTGGTTTTTTTTTCCATAAATTGCTTTTTTTTTTTTATAGGTACGTACAATACTAGTTCTTGAACTTTTCTGTTTTTTAAAGTAATTTAATTTGAATGCTTTGTTGTTTTCAATTTCTCAATTACTTGGTCCATGCTGCCTTTCCAGCTATGGAGATTGATGAATCAAGGGTGTTTTTCTTTGTAACTTGGATGTTCAGAAGAAATGGGGAGTTTGGTTACTTAACTGCATTGAAGACTTCAAGTGGATGAGATTGCTTTTTACTCAGAACCTGATGCTTTTTTTTTTTGTAAAACACAGGGATATGTTGGGAACAAATCAGCAATCTTTCCTTTGCAACTTCTCGGCTTTGATGTGGATCCAATCAACTCGGTTCAGTTCTCTAACCACACAGGCAAGCAGCTTTATATCACTTCAGTCTCACAACTCAGAGCCCCGATATATATATGGTGCGAATTTATATCTGGTTAATCTGAGTGTTGGAAAGTATCGGTCTCCAACTTTTCTCTATGAAACATAGTATGCGAAAATGGGATGGTGCAGGGTATCCAACGTTTCGAGGCCAAGTATTGGACGGTCAGCAACTTTGGGATTTAATAGAAGGTCTTGAAGCAAATGGTCTGCTTTTTTATACGCATTTATTAACAGGTTTGAGAATTCTCTTCATGTGTCTTCAAGGAACTCTTGCATGTTTATTTCGTTTATTTTTCTCTGCTATAGTTTTTTAGTCACTTTTTTATGACGTGTGATAAACTTCATAACTTTTAAAGTAGTATGTGAAAAATATTCCATGCATGTTTTGTTTGCTACTTTTTTTTTTGGATTTATTAGTAGCACATGCTATTATTATCAGTATTACGAGGAATGGTTCTTTAGCGTATCAGATTCACCTCTAATAGTTGTTAATTGCGGCAATCTTACTAAGATTGGTTGAGTATACCAAGCAATGCTTTAAACCGCGCCTCGAGTCTTAGCTGCCTTGAGCCTTAGCACCCGCCTGCCTTGGCCTAGCTTCACCTCAGGGTGGAAATGCCCTTGGGAGAAGGATTATATTGTCATATGTCTGATTTTAAGGGGTAAGAAAGGCTACAGGGGTATTCCAAACTCCTCAGGTCTCCCTAAGTCGTATTTTACGGCATAAACACGTGTATAGTTTTCATTTCTTCTTAGGGTTGTTTGTGTGGTTATGCTATGTCACACTTTGATATTGTAGATCTGATCACTCACACCAAAAGAATCACATGCTTACTCTCAAAGCCTTGTAGGTACAGAATCGGCAATATATATGCAATTTGACCTTTTTGTTTAAAATGAGCTTTTTTTTTTAAAAAGAAACCCATGTGTAGTAATTTGTTTCTGATTTGAGGTGGCTGCCTAAGTAGTGTCCTGGATGCCTAGGCGCCACGTCATACCTTTGAAAACATTGACTACCAAGATGGTATAGGGGGGTAATTTGAATTGAAAGACACTCCCTGAAATGGAGATATCAAGATGATGTAGGCCTTTGTGTGTCAAAGCTCTTTAAGAAATTTGGTCAGCTGGTCAAAATGCAAAAAACAAAAAAAGAAACAAAGTGGTCGAATATATGGGAAAATAATTGGTAAATTCTCCCCTTGCTCCTTGATAATTGAAGAATTGCACATTGGGTTTCACAATTTCTTGAGCATCAATAATGGTCCAATTATTTTCTATAGTAATATAAGAGCTGTAGTCTGTTCAATTTTTTCCGTAGTAATAGAAGAACTGCAACTTATGATTCTCCGCTTGGTTTCTTTTCTCATTGATGCATCAATCTTCTCTATCTAGTTTTTGTGGTTTATTAAATGTAAAAAATCAGCATACGTTCTAAATATCATTTTGTTTACATCTCGTTGTCTGCTTTGGAGTTTCCTATTTCTGTAAACAATTGCCGTGCTCCCTGGTTGAATGATTTTATGGTATCAATCATAAAGTTTATGCTTTCTTGGTTCTTGACATGTTCTTTTGACTTGCTGTTTTTCTTGAACCATTCTTCTGCAAATGGCCCCATTTCAACATGCCTTTGGGAAGTGATATTCTCAGTTTGCTTTCTGTATCTTTGTTTATGCTTTATGAGCTGTTTATGCTTTATGAGGTTCACCTTGTTTAATGAACATTGTGTTCCATGCTATCCATATCAGTATTACATTCTACCCATATCTCCTTGTCGATATGTTCCCAATGTCTTTTGTATTCATCTTAAATTTGACACTTTTTTCTGGAAAGCATATGCTAAGGAACTCCGTATATACAGCTGGAATCTATATCACATTTGGAGTCCTTTGTCCAGCGATCAGCTTTCACATAGACCACTGTTTATGCAGCTACAAGTTTTGTGTTACAGATGCATTTTATCTATTTTATTTACATAATCTACTTTTTCTGAAACAAAAAATAAATTCGCTGTGCATTATGTGCCCTTTCTGTCACTGTCATCTTTCTGTCACTTACATCTGACATTATATAATATTGCTCTGTTTGCAGGTTATATTGGGTCAGTTTCATTCTTGAACATGGTATTCCAAGTTGTTGACAAGCTGCGTTCAATCAATCCAGATCTCATATATGGTCAGCATCAGTCATTGGATTGTCTTGAAAGTTCATATTGTTAGATGCAATATATTTTTGTTTTGAATTTGTTGCTTGTAAATGATTTCTTCTTTGTTGTAATATATTGCGTCCAAAAAACAATTGCGTTCTTTAGTTAATGACTTGGGACCGTTTTGTGCTCTTCTGATTTTACCTTTCATTTTGGAAAAATATAACTAAGAATAGCCGTCTTAGAGAAGCTCTACATTTTTTAGTACTTTGGCAGAATTGGATCACAAAGTGGAGGAATGATACTTACCAAGGAGGAAAGGGGCAGAAATCTTGAACTTAAACTAGATTATCAGGGGATCCCCAAAAAGGAAATTTTTTCACATTGGAAGTCCACAGTAAAGTGGCTCAAGGAGGATGACCAATATACTAGCTTCTTCCACATGATTGCTAATGTGCATAGGAGATGCAACAAGGATGCTTTGTTTGAGGATGGATGGAGGGAGGGAGATAGGGAGTAAGGGAGGTGAGTTGAGGTGATCGTAAGCTTCTTTTTTCAGTTTGACGACCAACCTTTTCTCTATGTTGAATCCACATTCCCTAGTCCGGAGTTTGATCAGTGGATATGATTGGATGGCTCGACTAGGTAATCAAGTCGGTTGGTTGGATGGCTCAACTGGATTTTTAGAGTGATGTCTGTTGGTTGGATGGCTCGACTGGGTTTTTAGAGTGATGAAGTTTATGAGGCCATATCATCTTCAGGCTTCTTAATTTGGCCCCAGTTGTTGATGGGTTTACCCTAGTTTTTTAGGTTTTCCATTTTATCTAGGGCATTGTGAGGTGTGAGATATGAAGATATTGCAAATCCACATGAGAGGGTCCTTATCGATAAGGGAATGTTCACCATCATGGTGTCTGATGTAGAAGGTCATGATTATGTTAAATATTTTCACCAATCCACTGGTGAACACTTTTCTTAGAACATTGTGACCAAAATCCTTGCCCCAGAATTAGGGAAGCTTGGGTGGTCCATTGTGTCTACTTCTTAGGGTACTTTTGTGCGGGAATACAAGGCAGATTGGTTGCCTGTGACCATCTGGTTTTGAGCGGGATTTGAAGTTTGGGTGTACCTATAAATATGACTGAAATGTTATGATGATGTCCATTGGGGTTCTTTGTATCTCTAACTACCCCTCCCTCAGACATCCAGCTGCCCACTCATGAATAAGTCTGGCAAAAAGTTGCCTTTGCCCTATAATGCTAGTCAAGGCTGAGTTAAGATGTACATTATAGATGCCATCCATCATAGCAGTGTATCAAAAAGCGCTAGGCAGCTTGGGGGGTCCAGGCCTCCCAGCGCCTAGGTGGGCGCCCAGTTGAAAAAAAATACCAAATTACCAAATACCATATTCCATGTTGAATAAAAAAAAGATAGATTTCGAGAAGAGAATTTTGGTAATCTATATTGTTAAAACAGTAAACTGTAAAACCATACAAGTGTAGGATATAAAAGTCAACACTCAATACAACAAAAATATGCAAAAATTTAGAAAATATACAGTCTAACAAAAGTCAACACTCATGACTTAACACAACAGTCAACACTCATGACTCAACACAACAGTTAACACTCAACACTCAGAACCAAGAGGCAAGAGTCTTCAGTCGTCATCATCATCAGAAGGAATATCGATAGGGGAAGCCTCATCATATGCATTAGAGTCGAGGCCATCATCATTAGAGTCATCTTCCTTTTCAATATAATGCTCGTCTTCCTCTGTTTCTTCTGAATCTGCCTTTTCCTCCTCATCTTCTTCTACCTTCCTCTTACTAAGATGTGCAGTCTGTGCAGATGAGGCCTTAGGAGTCTTGGCTGCTCTACCCTTTTCTTTGTGTTTCTCTAAACTTAAATATTGTATAATTTCCTCCCTGGTAGCCTCAGGAACATTTTTACACGGGTCAACATCCCTTTTAATACCGCCAAGGTGTTTTTTAAACCGGTAAATGCCTCCTTAATATCCTTTCCACATTTTTATCACTTGGATTCGGGTTATAACCATACTTCCAACCCGGATCACCACTCCGACTAGAACCTAGAGAAGATACTTCAATAGAACAAGGCTTATTTTCAACCTTTTCTGGTTCTTCTAATTCAGAAGATGTCTAATCTCATCCCGAATCGCTTCAGGAAGCTTTATACAAGAAGCAACTTTACCTCTAACACTAGCAAGGTGTTTTTTGAATCGGCTAATATCCCCATTGGTATGTTTTTCACAAAAATTACACCTTATACAGCTTTTATCATTTGGTTTTGGGTTGTACCCATACTTCCAACCCGGATCACTTCTTCTAGAAGTAGCAGAAATAGATCTATGACAAGGATTTTGTTCTTGTTTTTGTTTTGTATAACTTATATATTATGTCGATTACCTTCCCTTATATTATACTTTGTCCTGATAATCTTTATTGCTTCTTTCTTTACATAGTCACCACACATTTGATAAAAAGGTTGCCCTTGGCATGGTTGTACCCTTTTTGTTACATCAGGAGTCTTCCTTTACCTGCAAGGAACCATATAAGGGGGTTAGGAATTACCCAATGAATACTGGATATTGGAGTGGAACTATCCTTATCCACCTCCCAACTTATATTCTACTAGACAAACAAATGTTCCTTTATATGTTTTAGCCTCCTTAGATAATCAGCATATATCAAGGGATCTACTGTGAAGATTTTGTTCATATATGCAAGCCATCGGAAGGTTGAAATTTGTGTTAGGGATTTGATCCCCTATACCCATTTGGCTGGAAAGGTCCTTGAGCTCATATGAGATGTTTCTTAACAAGACCTTGTTCACCTGTCCTCCCAAATTGTGCTTCTTGAGCTCTACGTAGACATCCATACTTTGAATTCTTGTTGTCTAATGGTGCATAATTGTCTTTGGAAACTCCTCATATTCAAAAACTATGTTGCTTTGGATATTGCCTTTCCTGGTGCTCACTTTTATTGTCCTTTCTTTTTCCTTCTTGGAATTGTTATAATATATTCCCAAAGTAAGTTTCTCAGTTGACCTTTTCTCTTTTGCTCTCTCTGCGTTGATTTGAGTTATTTTCTCTTTCATATTTCTTCAGAAGGAACCAAAAATCACCGCTTCTTCACCAACTCTTCTAATGAGCAATGGAAATTGCTCGCATATCCACCATTTTGGGTTTTCCTTAAGACTCAAATTGGAGAACATCCTTTCTGATACTTCATTGGAACTAGTACACATTACGTAAGACCTTTCTGTGCCCCATGTAGCTGTAATTTGATATTGAAATTCCCATTGACTTCATTTGTGCAGTGTCGTATGTACCGTGTTTTCACTTTGGTCACTGTGTATTGAGAAATGATTCTCCCCTTTCTAGCAACTGGGGGGCTTCCCTTCTGAATTTTTGTGTCATTGCCAATGGGCTTGAAGTCCTCTCCCCTCCTTGTCCTTAAGCCCCTTGGTTTTGATCCATATCTGAAATGTGCTAGTAATGAAAGGATTTGGAAAACAATAATTGAAAATATTGAATTGGATTAAGGACTGGACATGTGATGGCTGAGCATGGGTCATTTTTGAATCTGTGATTCAGCAGTTTAGCGTATTAAAAACTGACAACATTGTGCTTATTTTTTAATGCTTCAATGTCATGCTTTGACCTGCATCATTCATGATTGCCTATTAGTTTTAGCTAATATTTTGATGGTTAGAACATCCAAGAATTTGCTCTTTTTTTTTTTAAATTCCTCCTCATCTTAGATATATAATATGTTTAGCCTTTATATACCATTTTCTCTCGTTCTTTGTGTCATAGTACACATCTGGCTTGCACATGTTTTCTCTTGTTAGTTGACCTGTGTGTGGTATACAACGCAATTGGCTTCTTCTTTTAAGACTTCTGTTTTCCTCCAGATGGGCCAAAAAGCTTTTTAATTTTTTCCTTTTTTCTTTTTTGCTTTAGAAAATATTTGGGAGGCATATATTCCTCGATAATTTTTCTAATAGTTAACAATCATAAATGCTCCGCGTAATTGTTTTTTGATACTTATCAAAGCTTTGTTCTGTAGTATGTGATCCTGTCCTTGGTGATGAAGGGAAGCTGTATGTACCCCAGGAGCTGGTATCTGTATATAAGAAGGTGCATAATCCATGTCTACTTTGTTTTTTTTTTTGGCATAATTGCAATCAATGTAAATACTTGTGAACTCAAATTTATCAATATTCTTTAGTTGTATGTAATGATAATGAATTAGAAACTGCTTCGTCCAAACCAATTAGTGCGCCGTACAGCCTGGGTACCAGAAATAAAAGAATACATTATACATAAAATGGTCTTTGTGCCTACAGCTTGATTGTTTCCTAGTTGCAAACTTGCATTGTTTAACAAGTTTCTCTGGCATCCTAAAAGCAGGAGAGCGCCCATGTCATAGTTTTGATCACTGCTGCAGAAAATGTTTTCCAGCTCTGAGAACAAAGTCTGCTTAAAGATTTCTTGGTGATGTTTAAAATTATTACAGCTGTCCGGATAGTATTTGCCAGCACTTCTATTAATTATTATAGCTGCCCAGATAGTAATTCCCAGCACTAATATAAAAAATTATCTACGATCAGCGGGGCTCAGGTTGTTAATTGTTCTGTTTAGAAGAAAAGCAAAGGTAGATCCATTCTAAGTAAATTTAAATACTGGTGATGCAGACAAATGAATTAAGAAAAGATGGACCGATTTCTTATACCCAAGAAATTTATGGTACTTTTCTTGTTCCCCTTATCTATGTTTCTAATATTTCACATGAAATTTCTGATCTAACAAGGATTCATAGTAAGAAAGAAGGATATTGGGGTTTGGGGAGATATAGAAAATGCAATACTTCTTTATTAGAATATGTGCATTAGAATATTTGATATGTAACAAGCATAAGAAATTTTTCTCTCTCATTTCAACTTTGTAGATTGAAAATTTTATCATGTTATTAAAGGTTCCTGTCTAGGTAACAAATAGTTTGCGCCATAGTTACTAGGATCGTCTAAGTAGGGGTTGGCTTCAGCTCCGGAAGCTCGAGACTGCCCTCCAAGACACGAGATCTCGATTCCGGGCGATTCCTTGATACTTGGGATCTCGATTCGGGAAATTAGGGAACTCGATTTCATGTAAATGGATCCAGATGCCTATGCTAAAAATTATGGTTCCATGATCAAGCAGAACTCACTGCACCTGAGTGATACAGCGCGTTGCTGGATGATGATGATGATGAATCTATAAGGAATACTAGGGATTCTTGAAGCTATGTTTATTTCACCTAGAATTTTGTAGACCTGGAGACTGGAAATCAACCTGTTTTAATTAATTCATTGATGTGAGGGTGATGTTTAGGTGTCTATACTTCTCAACTCATGCACATGTAGAAAATACTAAAATATTTTGAAAAAATAAAATGACCAAAATACCCCTCAAACTGTACATTATTTTTCTCCGAAAACATTGTCGATCTCAACAGTCTGATTTTGATTGGACGATTGAAAGCATTATGAGTTATTCTTTTTATTTTTTTATTTTTTTAATTTGAAATTGGCATGCATCAATTATTCAATGTAATTTTTTCCCTATACATTGGATTGAGAGTTTTTTTTTGGGGCCTATACTTCTCGCCCTCACGTATCTGTAAAAACTATAGAAAATATTATGTAAAAAATAAAAAGACTGAAATACCTCTTAAAATTTTAGGGTGTTTTGGTCATTGTATTTAGTTTGAATGTTTTTATGTTTTTTTAAAGATGGGTCCCAATGAGGCATACACACCCTCCAAATTTCATCTTGATCTGGATCTGTAAAAAGTTTTAGAAAAATAGAGGAAGAAGGTTCCAACATTTTCTAAATGACGAAAGTTCTACTTTTTTTTTTTTTGGGAGGGGGGGACTTCCAGTTCCCCATTCACTGTAGCATTCATAGTAGCCAAACTAGGAATTGTTACATCATCCAAGAAATTTTGGCTTCTGGCACCAAAATTTCTAATTGCCAAATGGCCCCCTAAATTCTTTCAAAATCAGCTAAGGAAATCATTTGTAGGTTTAGGAAACTAGGTCCTTATGAAACATGGAAAGAATATTTCTGGATTCAAACAACATCAGAAAACTAACTTGCCAAACAAGGAGAGAAAAATTTACTAATCTATGGAGCCCACAATCTTCTAGAAGATGGGTCTTTCTAGACGACAGAGAAGTCTGCATCATGCTCCAACCTCCAAGAATAGTCTATTACCATGTTTTAGGAGGGGCTTTCCCTTGGTATTACACCAGTTTAGGTCATCTCCATCCTCCTTATGCACTATCCATGTCACCTGTTCCAAAGTGCTATGTGACTAACAGTTGTTAACATCAAGTTTTTGCTCATTCACTATGCAAATGTAACCACTTACTATGCTGTTTCCATAATAAACATTCCTCTGTCTGTGACTCAGTTATTCTCATTCTTGATCACCCTCAGGTTGATCCCCACAGTTACAGGGATCCGTATCACTCCTTAAATGTCCTCTTTGTTCTTCCAAATCTTCTACATGATAGATGGAATAGATACTTTCCATTTTGGTTTAATTTGCCTCTTCCGATTATTCTTTCTCTACTCCCAAGGCTTCCTCCTCATTGGTCCCTCATGATTGGAACTTTGCTTTGTGGTGTGAACTTTATGTGACCCACCTTGTAGGTGAGCTTGTAATGACGTTGTGGTTCCTCCCCTTAGATTTGCTTGCCAACTATGAAGCATCTTTGCTTTATGAACTCCAAAAGGTGATGATTAAGATATTTTCCTTCATAACCATTTACTTAGAACATGGTACTCCTAGGGATATTTTGAATCCATGCTTCAGGCACTGAAATGCTCTAGTGTAATGTGCAAAGTGGAGAAACATAGCACATGCGATCCTTGAAGCAAGAGTAACCACTTGGCATTAATTCCCATGTTCTTTGTTTCCTTGTAGCCAGAGTTTCTCTTGTCACTTGTTTTGATTATTAATTATTTTTTTGTTATGACATTGATTTTAGCAATAATTTTCTTGTGTCTTCTAAAATTTTTTCTTAATCTACAAGATAATTACTCAGTTAAGTTGAAGTATGAAACATGATAGATTTTCTTTTGCCAAAGGAGGACATTGGTTAAGTTGTTTGACCTGTACTTCACAATTGTATTTGACAACCAGGTGTCTCAGTGTTTTACTGTCGGTTCCACAGGTTGTCTCAGTTGCCTCAATGTTGACTCCCAACCAATTTGAAGTAGAGCAATTAACTGGATTAAGGTAACTGTGCCGAACTCATACCTTGTGTAGCACCACATAGGAATGCATTTTATGCTTTTGGGTGGTTCAGAATGTTGTTGTCAAATTGTGCTTTTCCTGCTTTGTTAGACTATCAGCTTGTCGTGTACATTAGATTGTGGAAAGGCAGTCTTATTAATGCTCAAACCAATTCTTAGAGAAGCGTTAGCGAAGTACTGGTAAAAGGTACTATGTTTTATGTTTCTTTTGCCATTATGGGGGAGATTTACTAATTTCTGAAAAACAATGGTTTAATACCCTACTACCTTGTCAATATCTGGGCATGTTCAATTATTTTTTTTGGGTGAATAGGCACGTTCAATTTGATTGTACTTTATCTGCACTTTTCTGTTCTTTGTTGTATAATATGTTTGCCATTCTAGATCTTGGCTATACGAAAGGCTACTGTATCAATGAATGGAGGTTGCAGTTGGGGCGGGGGACAATGGGGCAGCCTGAAACCACCCTGCAATTATGTGCTGTTGGGCAGCCTGAAATCACCCTGGAATTATGTGCTGTTGGGCAGCCTCAATGCACTCCCTTTTGCCGAAAGGATTGTTGGCGAAGTACTAGTAAAAAGTACTATTTTATGTTTATTTGGCCATCATGGGAGAGGTTTACTGATTTTCGAAACAACAATGGTTTGTTGCCTACTATCTTGGCACGTTCAATTTTGCTGCACTGTTATAGCTTTGGTTATATAATATGTTTGGCACTCTAGATCTTGGCCGTGCTAACTGCATCACTAAATAGGGGCTGATGGGGCACTGGGGACCAACCTGAAATCATGTACTGTGGGGCAGTATGAATGCACTACTGATTGCACAACATACCTGCAAAATGCTTCCTAATTTGCTTGCATTGCTGCAATTCTCTCAAGTTAGTGAGAGTGATTCTGTCCTTGGTTTTTAGGCTAACGGTTACAAAATGTTCATTTCCTAGTGTGCTATTGGGTTTCAGATCTTTTACAACGTGCAGAATTTCTAGGGTGTCATGGCAACACATTAGATTTGATGTTGGTAGCTGATTGAATGCTGGTAACTTGGAATATCTTCAATTATCTTTATGTGTGAAGATTGTTGATCCACCTTCATCGATCTTGAAACAACTAAGAATTTTTTTCTTGGTCTCAGGCCTCATCTTTATGCTCGACACATGCCTGCTATATCGTTTTGGGTGCTCTTGCCGGGGATGATTTGACTAAGAAAATTCGGCTTAAGCGAGTGCCTCTGCTGAACAAACAATTGGAATTGAATCTACAGAGACTGTCTTTGACCTGTAATCTTATATAAATGAGATTGAAAGAGAGACCCATTTTCGGATTTGGAAACCTGCACCCCAAAGAGGGCGCTCGCCCATCCTTCAAAGTGTCACTTCTTCTCTAAGAAAAGGAGCTCCTCACATGAGTTTTTATCGTTGAATGTGGTCGACCATTAGGCTTGGATTAACCCATCTTCAATGGCGGTCCTAACTAAAGAAAGAGCAATCTGCTGCGCTAGTGAGACTGATCGAGAAGTACTTGACGATCTTGAGCCTGTGCTTTGTTACTTGAATTTTCTACTTCTGCACTAGGAACCTCTTCTAGGCTAGAGCCCCTTGTATACTAATGGTAGCAAAGCGAGTACTGAAGCGAGGGGAGTGTACAAAACGAACAAGCGTAGCAAACCGTTGGTTGGCCACTGAGAGTCAATTATTCAGATAGATTAGCGGAGCTTCGGATGGGGTACATCAATCGACAGTACCAACTGGGGCTTCCAAGCCCACTTGATGAGCTTGCGAAAGGATGAATGAGACCATAAAGCTTTGATCAATAAGGCCACAATCAGCATAGAAGATTTGTTATCGGCACCAGACTGCTTTGAAGATGGAGTCAAGCTAGCCATCGAAGAACTACAAGAGGTTAACCTTGGGACATCGGAGGAACTGAGACCAACATTCATCGCTGCAAGCCTTCCGAAGCTCGAAGCCTACAATCTTGTCAAGTTTCTACGAGAATACAAAGATTGCTTTGCGTGGACCTACAGCGAAATGCCTGACCTCAATCCACAGGTTGTAACACACTCACTTGCCATCAATTCTGATCACCAGCCGCGCAAACAACCACGACGAAGGCCACCTCGAACTCCAAATCAAGGATGAAATTCAGAAGCTATTCAACGTTGGGTTTATCGAACTAGTACCGTATCCCTAGTGGCTTGCTAACGTCGTCCCAGTCTGTACGGGAGGGGGAATCAACCTGGGGGCGGATTATTTCGCTTTTTATATAAAATATTTACTCAATCTGCGAATCGAGCGAGCTTCCTGCTTCTGAATTAATTGAAACGCCTGTTATCGTAGACTGTGTAGTGTCCTTCTCATTTGATCACCCTCTGTCCGATTCGAAGAGTCTGATCCTTAATGTCTTATTCATAACGACCCATGTGCTGCCATAAATGAATCAAATCGCTTGTACCAATAGAAATCAAAATCGGCAAAGGAAGGGTGATGACGAAAAGGCTTTTTATCAGGTTGAAGAAGCCTATTTCCATGAAAGAAGGGAGTCTAAAACCATAAGAAGAGAAGAGGAAGGGCGGAGTAGTGTCTTTTCCAACAAAATATGAAGCTGGTTGACACGAAAGAAAGAAGGGGGAGACATTGGTTCTATGGGGTAAGAACTCGTGTGAGTAGGTTTCAAGTATAGCTTGCCAAGGTCGCGCAATGCAACGAGAAGAAGGGACCATGATGTCTGCGCTAGGTCTGTTCCAGTCGTCTATGACAGGAAGGACTATCCCAGGCTAGTCCTACTAAGTCTACTCCTATTAAAGCAGTACTCCCATTGTGAGAAAAGAACAATAGCAAGACAATACAGATGGCATCGCGACCTTTCCCTCGTCGATGTAGCTGGTCACACTACATTTAGATTTAATCGTGCCTGTGGAGCGATCTAAGGGGGGTGAAGTTTCATAACTTCGAAGAATGATCCGATAGGTTGGTGTGACATTGGGCCGACTCAAAGACAACCCTATGGCACGTGCCTCTTCCAAAGGGGCTGTAGGTGTAACTTAGGCAAGGTATTAGAAGTACGATCTTCGACTTTGTAGTCTAGTCTTCTGCGTGCTTTATCTTCTTCCACTTACCTATCTTAATCATCTGACTTCCTTGCTACGAGGTTGACTGGTTCTCCAAAACCGTGTCTTTTCTTTCTTAAGGAATAGGGTAAATCCTGCCTGCTTGGTTCCCTTAATTGGCGGGAGGTAATAGATCGACCTCAAATCGAGAATCCTCTCATAGGAAAGTTTGCCTCAAAGAATGGCCTGGCTCTAATAAGGCCCTAAGCTTTGCTAAGGCTGTAAAAAGACCCCTCTCAAGACCTCGTCTTTCGGTCTACGCTTAACAGAAAGAAGCGATCTCTTCGTGCTTCATTGGAATGAGACCTTCGCTTCCTTCCACACAGAAGGCTTAGTAGCCATCCTAGCTCTTGATTTCTAGCATGGTTTGCCTACTTCTAAACAGAGGGCGTTAGCTTAACTCATAGCCTTCCGTTCCCAATGAAGCTACTAGGGCGAAGAAGCGTGCTTTTCAGCCCTTTTTCTCGTCTCCTTACATTCTTAAATCCAGCTTAGCTTGATGATTGCGCTACTGGATGATCAAAATAACGTAAACAGAGCTTTTTTCGCTAGTCGTGAATAAGCATACCAGTATCCGTGCGAGAGCAGATTTGTCGATAGATAGAAGGCTAGCCAGCTAAAGCCGCTACCGAGGATTTTTGTTTAAAACGGAGGGCGGTGGGAGAGATGAGATAAGTAAGCTTTTTTCAGCCTGAAGGTAAGAGGGCAAGGTAGTTAGCTTTTTTGCCATTACTTGAATTGCCCCACCCTCCACCCATATTCGATGCAGGAGCCTTGTCTCGTCAGGATACAGGATAACCCGCATTCACGTGGTCTCGGTTCAAAAAGGGTCCAAATGGAGGTCCTTTTCAGGTAGCTTCTATATATTCTACAAGAAGGCTTACGTTTTTCTTCTGTCGGGCACATGATCTCTGGCGAAGCCAACTTCGGTCCCATGAGATATATATATATATATATATATATATATATATATATATAGTACGACGTACGTTACCTTACCTTTACCTTACCGTTACGGTACGTAGTAAGTAGTAAGTAATAAACGTAACGTAAACGGTAACGGGAAACGG